GAGAGATTCTGATTGGCTCTCAGCAAATTTGATACGCCTCTCTAGATTTTGATTGACAACTTCAAGTTCTGCTACCCGTTGAGAGACATCCGAATCGGCCAAGACTTCGAGTTCTCGGACTCGTTTCTTTAGCGCAGCTTCTCTCTCCTGAAGATCTTCGACGAGGAAAGTCAACTCCTCGTGAGTGATGCTATCGATGGAAGGTGCACGTGATTTTGATTTTCTGTGAGCACGGGGCGGGGCTACAGGGCCTGGGGGCGGAGTTTGTCCACTTTGGGTGGAAGAGCCTTTTCTGGAAGCGGCAGTCGGGCCAGGGGCAGGGTGAGATAGGACAACGGTTGCGGTAGAGCTGAAGATCTCCTGGGATACCGTCGAATCCGATCTCGTGGCTTTGCCCTCTAGATCCTTGTCTACATTGTCGAGTCTGAGGACAGAATAATATCAATAAAATATATGTAAGGACGTCATCAAATTGAATTCTTTTCATTACGAGGTGTTCCCTTTTTGAACATAGGTAAAAGTTTATAAGTATCATATTGCGAGCCGATTCGTTAGAGATCGAGAGAAACACATAGACACGATGACGACCATTTGGTAGTGGGAAAGGAATGACAGGAAGGGAAAAAAAACCAAGAGAAATATCCAAAAAGGTCCAACTAGAGGTGCCTCAAAAAGCAAGAGACTACAAGAACTTTGTGAAAAGCTGTCAACTGCCCCAAAATTCACACATTGTGAACACAAAAAGGGATGGAATCATTAAAGTAAGACTTACAAATAATCCAAAAGAAAAAATTGTGATTCACTAAACCAAAAAACCAATATCATACCAACCTAACACACAGCCTATTCTCGATTTATCCTTTTGAAAATATCGCACATGGACCTCGACAAAAGTCCCTATCATGTCTGAACCCGTAAACTTCAGTCTGCTGGAAAAACTCCTGCCCATTCTCTAACAGTAACAGAAATAAGCTCTCCGTACCAGCGACTTACACTGACAGAGGTAGATCTAATCGAGCAAAAGCAGAAGACTTTCGAAACTTTGAAACTCATTCAAGTGGTCTGTGTCTCCCTAAAAATACTTATACATGACGACTCAAAGACACCTACGGCCACAAAAACGCTACCCTAGTTTCGACATAATTATTTGAACTTCGGCAATGCCTTCCCTACGTTGTTGAAAGTCGGAATCTTGAGGGTAAATATCACAAGTCTGGGGCATAAAGAAGATGATCGCTGTATAGCCATGCTGTGTGGTGTAAAGCAAAGGTTCTACCTCGTCACACCGACTGTCTACACAATTATAACTTGCCCTTCTTCTGAACAACCAGACGTCCCGACAACCGGGTTTAAAACTCAAAATGTTTAACCCATGGGCAAATAAGACAAACATAACAGTTTTGATCTTTTTCGTAAGTAGACAATAAAAACAATCCGCAATAGACTCTTTATTTGAGCCACACGTCTTTAAAAATTAAAAATCTGTGTTCTCAAAAGTCAGACAAAATTTCTAAACACTTACACGGACTCAATAAACGTAGGCTAGAATACGAAGGGTATGGGATAAAACAAATCAAAATGTTCACGAGGGGGCATGGAAAAAAGGAGGGGCGGGGGGTCGAGAGAGGGGAGAGGGAGACAGCAGGAAGGTAGGGCAGAGATAAACATTTAAGCCTTTGAATAAAGATAAGAAAAAGGCACAACTAGAATATATGGGATTTCGTTCGTCAAAAGAAACCATGGCCACTTAAGCTTAAGGACAAAATGAATTTGCAGTAAGTATACAATAAATTGCCATGAGCAGCAGATTTATGTCTGACAGACAAAAGAGAAGTTCATTCCTTTAGTCTCTTCTTTATATCGTATACACAAACAAGACAGCCAAACTATTCACATTGTATTCCCAAAATACAATAATCTATCAACGAGCCACGAACAGGTACTGATCGATCGATCGATCATGACAGAACACGATCACCACTTATCGCCGTAAAGGCGCGCAAGAACTAGGTTCACCCCAGGGCCCTAAACATAAGGGAAATTTTTATGTCGGTCACCGGCCTCACCCAAGGGCTCTGTATCGCAGGTATGCCGACAATGTCTGGTTGATTTATTGTAAACATTCGCTCAAAAGCTTTTATAATCACACACACACACACACACACACACACACACACACACACACACACACACACACACACACACACACACACACACACACACACACACACACAACCGGACTAGCTGGACTATTCCATGATTCTCTCTCTCTCTCTCTCTCTCTCTCTCTCTCTCTCTCTCTCTCTCTCTCTCTCTCTCTCTCTCTCTCTCTCTCTCTCTCTCTCTCTCTCTCTCTCTCTCTCTCTCTCGCTCGCTCGCTCGCTCGCTCTCCCCCTCTCTCTCTCTCGCTCGCTCTCCCCCCCTCTCTCTCTCCTCGCTCTCTCTCCCCTCTATCTATCTATCTATCTATCTATCTATCTATCTATCTATCTATCTATCTATCTAGCTATCCCTTTTAAAAACCCGTTTCACCATTATAATTCAATCATATAACTCCGTCTCTCTCATAAAGGCACTCACATAGTATGTCTAAGTGACATACACCTGCGCTGCCTTCATCTCAAACTACTGAGGCCTTTAACATCCCACACAAGACACAGATGAGCTTGAAAACGTTTCGGACAACTCACGTCTAACCCTTGGCCATGACGCACAACTCAGGTGGCCCACATGGTAGATTATATCTTAACCGACAGAGCAAACTGAACACGTCAAAGTCTACTGTCTACTAAAGACTAGAGGAAAAATGTGTGTATTGTTTTGGTAAGAGTTTTACGGCACTTGCAACACAATAATGTCACATAAGCGTCAAAGATTAGAAGTGTTACAAGAAAGTAACAAACACAAAAAAGAAGGAGGGGAGATAAAGACGTTATATTTTTTTATAGGAAAGAAGGAGCAAACCACACCAGAGCACCCGACAACCACCCATGAGGAAAGAGGGACGGACTCAATAAACATGAACTCTAAAAATTAAAATGTTTATTAAACTGAAATAGTATACCATGATAAAAACAGTATTATCAGTCACGTCTGGCGCCAGTTCAGTATAGTGAGCGCGCTCCCCAGAGACCGTGAGAGAAGCGTAAAACGATCCTTTAAAAAAAGACAACTAAACAGCTATTGTTCTTATAGTTTTAGTAAAATTTTTACGGCACTTGCAACACAATAAGGTCATACAAGTGCCGAAGAATAGATGTATACAAGAGAGTAACATACACAAAAAAGAAGGAGGAGAGATAAGGACAATAGATGATAGGAAAGAAGGAGCAAACCACACCAGAGCACCCGCCAACCACCCACTCCTATTGTTCTAGAGGCTCAAAAGGATATTGCGTAAACGGCGTTGACGCTACATCGCGAGGCCATGAGACCCTCTTGCCTTGTTAACATTGTGTCGAAGGGACAACACGTTTGAGTTACTACACGTGAAAAGGTGGATAGTGACTGTAGTGCGGTCAAAAATTCGTGGCGCAACTTAATCCTCAAATACCTCTTTAACGGGTGAATCAATGTCAGTTGTACTTTGCACAGCAGTTTGTATCCATTTGCCAAATTTGTCTTAACTTAATCATATTTTTCCCACAATAATTGATGTCAGATTAAAATATTTATTTTCTTCATACATTTATATGAATTACTATAAATCTCCGTCACGCGAAAATCGGGATTGTTTACGGCACCTACCGCTTCTCCCACATTTTGCGTACGCATATATGGCCTCCGTCACAGCATACCAATGACACTTTTAGAGGCAAAACTTGTTACGAGAAATTGATTTTATATTGAATACATTTTTGCATTAAAGTTTCTCACACCTAGAGTACAATAAGCATAATGTCACGATTGGAAAAAAAATGACGAACTTGCATTTAAAGGCGATATTATCCAGCTGTAAACCTTTTAAAAACTGTAGAAACCACCCACCTGGATTTTTAATTAGTATTTATTATGAAATTTTCTAAAATACAGCTAACAGGTGTTTACAAATTGTCTGTTAAGACAAACTGATATGGGTCATTGTGAAAAGGCTGAAAAGTCTGTGTTTGATATTTTAAGAAATATTTGACAATAAGTAGCGCCACGAATTTTTGACCGCATTATAGGTTTTTTTTTGAAGGAGTATCTGCTCAGTGTTTAAGAAATCCAGAGATACAGCCTTAAGACATAACAAAAGAGTAGAAGTGCTACCAACTGCAAACACGTAGAAACAGACCCAAGTGTTTATCAAAAACAAAAATTACAATAAAGGGAACACTTAAACCCTCATAGCATGTCTAATGTCGGCGTCGGTGATGAAACCCACGAGTACCGAACTCCCACGTTTGAAGGAGCAGAGACAACGAAAAAGATCTGGACAAGAATGTTAAAAATCCCAACCAAAAAGATCATACACACACACGCGCGCGCGCGCACACACACACACACACACACACACACACACACACACACACAAGCAGAAGAATAAACAAAAGCACTCCCAGCTCCTACTTGACTTTAAAATGGCAAGGGTCCTGCACTTGACATTTCTTTCCAGCTAGTCATAGAACAACCGCAGATCGATAACGACAAAACACAAAACCTACGAGGGAGGCACATCCTATGAACTAGACAAAGATCCAATTACATTGAAAAAGACAACGAAATCACTGTGAATAAGACAATCACCAATCTTGCTCTTCAGGAACACAATATCCCATGCACACGACCACAACCACCACTCGGCAAGTTGCCCACTACTACTCCAAAGCCCCACGTATCCTCTTTCCAGCCCGGGTAGAATCCCCCCAATAGTCACAGCCAGCTAGAGCCGCACCCCGGCACCCTTACCCGGCACGGGGAGGGGGGGGGGAGAGAAAGTCTGGCAATTGTGTTACGGTTCCTTGCTCCGCACACAGAGGACCAGGCGGGTCACGGAGGAAGGAGAGGGGGACGTGGGG